GTGTGTGTGTGTGTGTGTGTGTGTGTGTGTGTGTGTGTGTGTGTGTGCATGTGTGTGTGTGTATGTTTGTACGAGTGAGTGTCTGTGTGTGTGCAAGTGAGTGTCTTTGTGTGTTTGTGAGTGAGTGCCTGTGTGTGCGCGAGTGAGTGTCTGTGTGTGTGTGCGCGAGTGAGTGTCTTTGTGTGTGTGTGTGTGTGTGTGCGAGTTAGTGTCCGTGTGTGTGTGTATGTGTGTGTGAGCTTGTGTGTGCGTGTGTGTGAGAGCATGTGTGTGTGTGAGCGTGTGTGAGTGTGTGTGCGCAAGTGAGTTTCTCTGTGTGTGTGTGTGTGTGTGTGTGTACGAGTGAGTGTCTCTGTGTGTGTGTGCGAGTGTGTATGTCTGTGTGTGTGCGTGTGCGAGTGTCTGTGTGTGTGTGTGTGTGTGAGTGTGTGTGTGTACATTTGTACAAGTGAGTGTCTTTGTGTGTTTGAGTGAGTGCCTGTGTGCGCGTGTGTGTGTGTGCGCGTGTGTGTGTGTGCGCGTGTGTGTGTGTGCGCGTGTGTGAGCGCATGTGTGTGTGTGTGTGTGAGCATGTGTGTGTGTGAGAGTATGAGTGTGTGAGCGTGTGTGTGTGTTTGAGAGCATGTGTGTGTGTGAGAGCATGTGTGTGTGAGCGTGTATGTGTGTGTGTGAGCGTGTGTGTGAGCGTGTGTGATCGTGTGTGTGTGTGTGTGAGCGTGTGTGTGTTAGCGTGTGTGAGTGTGTGTGTATGTGTGAGTGTGTGTGAGCATGTGTGAGTGTGTGTGTGAGCATGTTTGTGTGTGTGAGCGTGTGTGCATGTGTGTGTGAGCGTGTGTGTGTGAGCGTATGTGAGCATGTGTGTGTGTGAGCGTGTGTGTGTGTGAGCGTGTGTGTGTGTGAGCGTGTGTGTGTGAGCGTGTGTGTGTGTGTGTGTTCAGCCTGTACCTCTCATTGACCCCTTTTCACTGCAGTCTCACTATCACAAAGGGAAGTTGTCCTGACTGGGGAGAGGAGTGGGCTCAGGGACAGTGCTTTCTCATTTTAATGTTTTCTGTTCTCTTTGCTCACCGAAGGCACTGGGAAGAGAGATCGATTGCATTGAGCTGAAAGTGTTGGATCTGAGGGACAAGGCCCATGATTTGGACGGGACCAGTGATGCCAGCAATGAGGGATCTGTCAGCCAGGCTGTGTCAGGACTCTCAGAGCACTGGCTCCATCTCCGAGACTTGGCAAGAGAGCAGGAACTACGCTGCACAGGCCTCAGGGAGGAATGGAAAAGCATCAGTGAACAGGTACCAACCGTCCAATGACCAGTGGGAACAGATTACCTGTTACACAACCCAGTCCATTAGTGTGGAATAACTCAGAACATGATGAGAGGAGGGCAGCTGGTGTATTTATATAGATTTCAGTAAATCCTTTGACAAAATCCCACGTGAGAAACTGGTAAATTTACATGGGATCCACGGTAATCTGGCAAATTGTGTAATTGGCTTAGTCACAGGAGACAGAGCCTGTTTGTGTGACTGGAGCCTGGTGTGCCACAGGGATCAGTGCTGGGCCCCTTATTGTTTGTGATATTCATAAATGATGGAGATGGGAACGTTGGAATTTGATTAAAAAAATAGTTTATGGGTGACACAAAGATTAGCCGCAAAAACAAAGTTGCTGGAAAAGCTCAGCAGGTCTGGCTGCATCTGTGAAGGAAAAAACAGAGTTAGCGTTTTGGGTCCGGTGACCCTTCCTCAGAACATCAGACCCGAAACATTAACCCTGTTTTTTCCTTCTATGATGCTGCGAGACCTGTTGAGCTTTTCCAGCAACTTTGTTTTTGTTCCTGATTCACAGCATCCACAGTTCTTTCGGTTTTTACGAAGATTGGCTGGTGGTTGACAGTGAGGAGGAAGGTGTTAGGTTACAGGAGGAGATAAATGGATTGGTCAGATGCTCAGATCAGTGGCAGATGGAGTTTAACCCTAATAAATGTGAGGGGATGCACTTTGGAAGAAGGAACAAGACATGGGAGTACTCAATAAATGGCAGGACACTAGGAAGTTCAAAGGAACAGAGCGATCTTGGAGATCTTGTCCACAGATTCCTTAATGAAGCAGGACAGGTTAATCCAGTGACAACAAGGTGCAGGGCTGGATGAACACAGCAGGCCAAGCAGCATCATAGGAGCAGAGAGGCTGATGTTTCGGGCCTAGACCCTTCATCAGAAAAGGGAGAGGGGAAGGGGGTTCTGAAATAAATAGGGAGAGAGGGGGAGGCGGATAGAAGATGGATAGAGGAGAGGATAGGTGGAGAGGAAACAAACAGGTCGAAGAGGCGGGGATGGAGCCAGTAAAGGTGAGTGTAGGTAGGGAGTTAGGGAGGGGATAGGCCAGTCCAGGGAGGACGGACAGGTCAAGGGGGCGGGATGAAGTTAGTCGGTAGCAGATGGAGGTGCGGCTTGAGGTGGGAGGAGGGGATAGGTGGGAGGAAGAACAGGTTAGGGAGGCGGGGACGAGCTGGACTGGTTTTGGGA